ATGACGTCATCCGTGTGTGTGCCGGATACCATAGAGTCTCTGACAAGATTGGATCACCTCTACCCTCAGCCTCAGTCCTCGCACCGCTGTGTGCTCAAACCCAGACCTATCCGCCTCGCCTCCGTGCAGCAGCTGTGGGTGACCAGAGATGCCCAAGTTCAAGGCCGACACTCTCTCTACACAAAGCCTCACTTTGAACGCGACGTAAGCGGAGGCTGTTTCCATATCCAGCCTTTTCAGAACGAATATTACGGGCTGAGAGATTCGGCGGAAATATCTCGTCAATATTGTAGGGAGCTTGCTGTAGACAGGAATCTCGTACCCTCTGAAGGGATTGATAACATATCGCCAGCAGCTCAGAAACTGCAAGAACACATCGCCCCACACCGTGCCCCAACTGTGACGTCAGCCAGGGGACATCTGCACAGATCCGGTCATCCCTACGAGACTTTACGTTCCTGTCATCAGTCAAAAATTCCGTCTAAATCTTCCCTGTTAGGAGATCTAATCCGTCCTTACAGCGGGGGCTTGCATACGCCAAGGCCGATAACAAAAGTAGGATTCTGGGGGAACTCTCTAGGTCTATCTAGAATGTCTCGGGACGCCAGGAAGAGCTTCTACTGCGCCCAAAGACTGAAGCAGAAAGCTCTACAGCAGAAGAAGAAACACTTCTTGACACCCGTTTCTAAGAACAGACCTGGACGATTTGGGTTTAGAACAACAAATGTGTACGCTTATAACGCTTTGTCTGAGAAAATAAGAAGTCCCAACGACATATCTTTTGACGTGGAAGATTCTAGACTCAAGAGCAGAGATAATGTTTCGGAAGATGGTACATGGGGGAGTTCTGCAGCTTTAGACAAGATGGACTCCACTCAGTTAGAAACAAGAGCGCAATCGGAAAAGCATGGGACTGAAAACGCCGCTTCGGATAAACGGGAATATAACAACACAAGCTTGTCGAACCTCGAAAACGAATCTTTGGTTCGTCTTCCGTATCGATTCCATGATCAGCAGCACCGATCTCTGAGCTCCGAGAACAAGAAGACATTCCGATGCCCGCAGTGCCGATACGTGACCGACAGAAAGAACAACCTGAAGCGACATATCGTGACCATGCACCAGGAGAGCACCAAACTGCTGGAGTGTTGCGGGGTGGGCTTCCAGAGCAAGGCTGCTCTCAGAGACCACAACGCCATCTTCCACAGGGGAGGTTACCGCTGTCAGATCTGCTCCAGAAATTTTTGCCGGAAAGCTTTATTGAGGCGACATCTAACTGTCCACAGCGGCCAGAAAGATTTCTTCTGTGAGCTGTGTGGGTACGCCACGAGCCACAAGTCCAACTTGGAGCGACATCAGAAAGTCCACAGTAAACGCGCTGACTTTATAGAGAAGAAAGAAAACATAGCGGTAAAACCCACACGAGACGCTGAAGGAAATATTGACGCCAGTCTGAAGGAGACTCGGCAGAGAATGCTTGAGTCACCAGACGAATTGTTCCCGCCTCTCCACGCTGGGATATCTGATCCAGAAGCAATTGTAAGACCTACCAGAATGGGCATTGATGACGTAGAATCCTGCATTCAGGGGAACTCGCTTCTGCGTAAGAGGCAACGTAAGCGACTGCAGTGTTCAAAGAAGTTCCTGCTGCCCAGAAGATTGAGGGAAACTTATGTGGACAACACAGAAAACACCAGGTCGAGAAGCATCGGTGAACCCCCTTGCACCCCTTCCCAGTTTAATGAACCTCCTTGCACCCTTTCCCAGTGTAATGACTCTACTTGCACCCATTCTCAGTGTAATGAACCCCCTTGCACCCCTTCTCAATGTATTGACCCCACGTGCACCCCTTCCCAGTGTAATGAACCACGCTGCCACCATAACCGGTGTGCTGAACCCCCATACGCGATCTCCGAATGCGGTGAAGCCCCCAGCCCCCACTCCCCGTACGCTGATCCCCACTGTTTAGTGTCCAAATGCCCTGAGGATAAAACTCCGGATGAACAGTTTTCTAAGCACGACACTAGCACTGTGGGGGAAACTACTACACAATCTGTTTTGAGCTGTCTCAAACGACGCCAGTCTGGGAGTGAGAGAAGAAGGAGAGAAACAGATCAATCAACGAACGAAGACGCGTCCTGGATTCCTCATAACACCATCACACAGAACAACCACACAAACAATGAAGAAATGGACGATAATCCCAGACGTTTCGATAAAAGACAACATTCTCTAACAACACCGCTACCGGATCAATCTGCTCGAGGTGACGTCACAACAGGACCCGTAGACAATCTCCAATACTTGACGTCACCGCGACAGCGTCTGTTCTCAGTGGTCTACAGTTGCCCGGACTGTCTGCACGTGTACCTGAGTCAGCGGCAGCTTGGCTCGCATTTGTGCCGGCACCAGGTCGCAGACCCCAGTCTCCGGGTTCCCGTGGTGACGTCAGTTTTGAGGGGTCGCCTCGGGGTGGTCAACTACGCTGTGATGTAATTACCGCAAAAAGAATAAGAATAATAGCATTGGTAATGATACTACTACTACTACTACTACTACTACTACTACTACTACTACTACTACTACTACTACTACTACTACTACTACTACTACTACTACTACTACTACTACTACTACTACTACTACTACTACTACTGCTGCTGCTACTATCATAACTACTTATACCATCCCTCCTCCCCAATAAAAAATTGATGTACTTTTTCTTCTCCTTTAAATGAAAAACAAAGATGAGAGAGAGAGAGAGAGAGAGAGAGAGAGAGAGAGAGAGAGAGAGAGAGAGAGAGAGAGAGAGAGAAAGAGAGAGAGAGAGAGAAACAGAGAGAGAGAGAGAGAGAGAGAGAGAAAGAGAGAGAGAGAGAGAGAGAGAGAGAGAAGTAGATAGACAGACAGACAAACAGGCAGACAAACAGATAAACAGACATTTTAAAAATCCAGACAAGTAGACAGATAGAGGGAAGAGAGAGGGTAGGAGTTGGAATGAAATCGAGACAGAGAGGAAGGTTGAAAAAAAATAATATTGTTTGCATACGGCATGATAATCTATAGTATTTCTGTATTTTTGAAATCGTTCTTTCGTTTGCTTTAAAATATTTATATAGTTTTCGTTATGTCTCTTTTCGTTACATCAATGTGATTATTCTGAAAAGTGAATCTTCTTGTTGGGAAATTAATTGATTGAAATAAAGAGTTCGTCTTTTATGAAATGTTCTTTACTTTTGTATTTGTTTGTTTGTTTGTTTTTGTTTGTTGTTGGGTTTTTTAATGTGAAATGTTGAGTTGAGCTGAGGTTTTTTTTTGTTAGCCTCACACCAATATTATCTACGATAACTTACGATTTGGTGCCCTCAAATTATCGTCCAAGTTCTTTTGATACACACACACACACACACACACACACACACACACACACACACACACACACACACACACACGGTCGCGCGCATACACATACATACACATACACACACATACACACATACACATACACACATATACTCACAAATGAACTCACACACAAACTCACACATACATATACACCCACATCCACTCTCACAAACAACCACAAATGCACAAACACACACTCACACACATACACACACAAAAGGACACATACGCATACATACATACACGTACACACATATACACACAAATGAACTCACACACAAACTCACTCATAAATACACATACATCCACCTTCACTCTCACAAACAACTGCAAACACGCAAGCACACCATTACACACAGAAACACAGGCACTCAAGCACTCACAAATACACACGCACACAATTACACACAGAAACACACGCACTCAAGCACTCACAAATACACACGCACACAATTACACACAGAAACACTCGCACTCAAGCACTCACAAATACACACGCACACAATTACATACAGAAACACACGCACTCAAGCACTCACAAATACACACGCACACAATTACACACAGAAACACACGCACACAATTACACACAGAAACACACGCACTCAAGCACTCACAAATACACACGCACACAATTACACACAGAAACACACGCACTCAAGCACTCACAAATACACACGCACACAATTACATACAGAAACACACGCACTCAAGCACTCACAAATACACACGCACACAATTACACACAGAAACACACGCACTCAAGCACTCACAAATACACACGCACACAATTACACACAGAAACACACGTACTCAAGCACTCACAAATACACACGCACACAATTACACACAGAAACACACGCACTCAAGCACTCACAAATACACACGCACACAATTACACACAGAAACACACGCACTCAAGCACTCACAAATACACACGCACAAATATAAACACACACAAATGCACACTCACTTCCACACTGACAGACACATACCCACAGAACCACATACAGAAACACTCATAAACAAAAACCCAGAAATACACACCAACACACTGTGTGTGTGTGTGTGTGTTTGCTTTTATGTGCACTATAGAGAGTACTGAGATAAGCATACACAGGGTTACAGAAAGTGACACAATTCATCACTTTAAAAAATGAATTTGCATCACAACTGTTAGCTGTAAAGAAGGTGTACCAAAATTATGGCTCACATCACTCACAATTAATAATCGTGTTTAAGAGTGCAACATTTTGACACTGCTACGGTGTGATTGCTTTTACAAGGTCCTTTATGTCTCGATTTTTTAAATTTCTCTCATTCACATCTTCTGGTTTTCTGTTTCCCAGCGAACAAAAATTAACTTCTCAAGTCCCGTAGAAACGAGTCTCGTCGCTAGGGCGAATAGATTCTAGATTGTTGAAAATTCTCACTCGGCCTTTCTTGTCTTAAAAATCCACTCACTCGTTATTTTTGTTCTGTCTAAAACTGTGTCTGGGGCTATTCCTTGGTGGACACAAATTGGACATAGCTTCATTTTCAAATCACACACATTAAGATTCATTGAGATGGGGAATCTGTCAAGCCTAGTTCAT